ATTATAACATTTACAATAATAAATGATTTTACTTCTTTTTTGTTTATTGATTATCGAAATTAATATTAAACTTTCAAGAAGGGAGCTGCAGCCATACAAAGGCCGCCGTCCCCCCCCCGCCCCCCGGGGAAATACTAAGATACTGGGATACAATTAATTGGACTCTAGCTGAAAGTCACCGGGTTCATGTTAGCAAAGGTAGAACGCGAGGAACTAGGGCGTAGGTGTCAGTCGGTTTGACCCCGCTGGGGTGATTGGTTATCTCGGAGCTTACGCAACCGTGGTCAACACACNCATCAGCTCATTTGGGCTGGATCACAATGACACGTCTGAATGTCTTTCTGCACGCAACTTATCCGGTCCGATGTGAAATGCGTTCCAACGGGACAGAATATTACAGGAAAAATAAATACCGTACTGGATGAGATTTACAAATCCAATGTGCTCTAAATGTGCTTGTTTGTCGTATATCAGCGATTAAGAAGGCTAAGGAAAATGTTAACACCTCGCGACATACACCTTTCGGTTTTTGATACGATGAATAAAGGGGGACCAAAGGTTTCAAATACCGAAGAATTGTTACTGTGCTCAAGACAATTCCATGCAAACATATGTTTGATACTGATGCTTTCAGTATTTTTGTCATTTCGACGGCTAATCACGGGATTTTGTGCAAATTCAAATTGATATTTTCCAACTCAATTCCACGCTTATTCTTATTGATCTCAGCTCGATATTCAAGACAAACAATTGTTTTGTTTTCGAGAGTAAAGTCATTGATTATCGTGGTTGGTGTTAGCGACCGATTGCTTCATTTTATTGCCCTTCCACTCACCCCTCCCGCTCCACCTTCTATTTAAATCAGAAGAAGACAACATCTGTCTCTCCTTCTCTCTCTCTCTATCTGCTTTATACGTCAAGGTACTGTCAAAACTGATCCATGTATCGTCTTTCGATCAGTTTAGCACAGTCGTTGACCTCGGTTCTCCTTTCGGTAAACAGTTCATGGATTTTTAAGTCCGTCTTAGTCCAGCTCAAGGTTGTTCAAGTGGGCCTCATTTTGTGCGTGTGTTTGTGTGTGATAGACTGTAAAGTTCTGTCCTGTTTCGGTGCAGCTAGCTAGTCCTTCACCCCCCCCCCCCAGTGGAAATTGAATTGGTTTCTTCGTGTGTCTGACAAACAGTAAACCAAGCAACACAGTGCCAAAAGTCGAATGCAACCACAGTCACAGACACCATGACCACTTGGTCTCGAGACAGAGAGGCACTGGGGTGCCTGTGAATTTCACTATCGAAAATAAAACGCAGTGTGGCGAACAAACTTTCTTTTTGGTGACTCATCAACTGGCTAGAACGTCACACTTTTGTATAATATTTGATATAACATCATTTTGTGTAGAAAAAGGCAATAAAATATGGGTTATTCAAATAGGACTTTTGTTGTCGTTGTTGTCCGAATTTCACAAAACCGGGTATGGTTGATCCTGCCATCGGAATTTAAGCTTGATCCGTATTACTTGTGTGATTTGCCGTGGGATTGGGAGTTGGATGAGGATGAGGATGGGATGTGGAGGTGGTAGGTTGACTTCACAAATTGTTTTTGAGAGCACAATAGGGGAATGACTGAGACGAATTCCAACCGCCTCTGCGGTGGCTACGATACGATTTTTAATCAGCTTTGATCTCCGACCCCGAACACTGTACTGAGTCCGAAATGCTTCAATCACACTCACTATATGATCGGGCTCGATAAGGTGTGAAAAGATGTGATTTGCTATGGTTTTAATCACACCAGTGTTCAGCTAGATCGGATAATTTCAAATGGGAATTCGTCGTGTATATAGCCAATGAAGCGTGAACTGAAAAGCTAAGAAGTATTGGACAGCTGTTTCGATCTGGTTAGATCTCATCAGTGCAGTGCGAATCCATCGAAATTGTTTCATACAAATCTGGTTGTAAAGGCTTGAAAAGTAATCCACCGAAAACATATGTTCGCCTACACTGTGTTCTTAATCAATAGACATATTCCATGATTACATGATATCTAAGATTGATTGATCTTACTGGTAATTGCAGTTTGTGTACTTTTGTGAGACCATCGTGCGATTGTATCATATCATCAATTCGCTTTTCACTCGACACACACACACAGATGAGCACGTGTTGTGCAAAGCCCAGTGTTTTGGTTCACATGAGCACTCACCCAACAACTCGTTTGGTTTTGTCATTTGCTTGGTGGATGAGTTATTGTACGCAAAGTGGAACTGTCTAGTTAGTACAGTCAGACAAACATTACTAACAAGCACTTGATCGTTGTCTACAGAGGAATGTGTCGACAAATGTGCCATTTGATAGCGGTCACCCAGTATGAATCGTTTGTGTATGGTAATGTAATGTAATGCACCAAGGCTCCGAATGAGACACATTATTCATTCACTTAACTGATCAGTTCTCACTGGTACCGCATTGGCTGATCGAGCTGATCGAGCTGATCCAGTGGTAAACATGCTCGCGTTCTCCAGCCGACAGTCACAGATCATTTTGGGGCTGAATCGTCAGCACCTATGGTGATGTCAGCGGAAAGCCCCGCCTGTGTGAGGGTTCCTAATTTGGCAAAAGTCTATGGAACATTTCTCCTGCTCTGTTCGTGCGCAATTCTGTTCGTTCTCTTGTATTTTATCAGAGGAAAGATATTCGGCAGGTGGGAAGAAATTGTATTTCCAAATAAATCGCCAATTGTTGATTGTCCATTGCGGATGGTGAACGCCTTCGTGTCGTACAAATATACGGTTAGACCGGAGGAAGCAGAATTCCCGCTCGCATTCAGTTTGATGGTATATACGGATGCAGATAGAGTGCTCCGTCTGTTTCGTGCTATCTACCGTCCACACAATTACTATTGTATTCACATTGACCGAAAAAGCAAACCGGAATTTGACAGTGCTGTTGAACGGCTGAAACAATGTCCCGGAATATCACAGAATTTGTTCTTCGTCGAGCCGGCTAATCGAATGGATGTCCGGTGGGGTTGGTTAAGTGTGCTGGACGCGGACCTGAACTGCGCGCGCATCCTGTTGGAGCGTGCACCCGGTGCTTGGAAATATTGGATCAATCTGACCGGTCAGGAATTTCCGTTGCGTACGAATTGGGAATTGGTTCGGGCTCTTCGTCTGTTGAACGGATCGAACATTGTACAAGCAATCTATGGTATTTATGACGCCGAGAGATGTCCTCCTCCGGCAGAATTCCCGGCCAATGTGAGTCACATAAAAGTTTTAGTCCTATTCAACACGGTAACTGGCTCGTATTACAGTCAGTTGTCGGATAGAACTCTGCTGCCCAAATTTGCTGACAGTCTGTTTCAAATGATGCAGATAAAATTTTCCCTACCACAAGTTTCTTTGGTACTACTCACTCTTAAGTATGCAAAACAGTCTTCTATCACTCACCCGCTCGTCATCACAAGAAAACAAATGGATTTAATTGGCATCGGTCATCAGTCTCGCTTATCTAAGCCAATTTGCAGTTATAGAACTGAAAGAAACATCTCAGATTGATTCGAGTTACATCATCGATTTTCGTTTCTAAGCAAAGGAAGGCGAGATAACAAACTTGTGCGAAATTATTCCGGATTGAGTAGTAGTCATGAGATCGTAAGATGGCTAAGAAGCTCGTTTTCGATATTACATCAAATGGCTAAATACAGCACAATTTATGATAGATTGAAATAGGTGATGAGAGGAGACACATATCTGCGAAGGAACTCAAAGCACAGAAAGAGACGATTGAGTTGTGCCCCACTGATGTTTGTAAGTGTGTATGTCTGTGTGTATATGTGTGGAAAGTGGATGACGGAGAGCGGTTGTGAAATGGCGAATAAATGGGTGAGTAGGTGAACGAGTAAGAATTCGCGAACAGAGGATATGTCACCAGATTGTTAGTGGAAGGCATGGTAATGCCAGTGATTGCATAAACTGTTTTCTGGGCTTAGAGATTAAGGAAGGGGGCGATGTGGAGATGAATAGATGGCAATCTTCTCTGCCGTTGATAAAGTTAAAAGTTTGATCTCTTTTTCAAAATTACAAAACGGAACACTCTGAAAACCCATGAAGGAATCCACCTTTTACAAACAATATGTGGATGGCCTAATCTGTATACACAACGCACACGAAGATGGTGATATTCCGTTTGAGAATTACCAAGCGCTCATCTGAACATTAGATTTCACATCGGAAAAGGAATTCACTGACGTTCCTGCATTTCAAGACGTGTTCTCCATTCGTAGAAGTATTCCAGGTACGGACGGGACAGGACACATTGCCAAAGATTTTTCCCAATACAATAAAAGAACAACTTGATTCGCTGCCTAACCAGTAGTGTCCAGAAACTTAGTTTTTCGACCACTGTGAGATTTGAACTAAGAAGAATACAAAATGTTATTTTTCTGAATGGATAGTTCGAGTCAGTAGCTCATAAAAGCATAATGTCATCCACCCCGGGGATTATGCGATACAGCAAATAAGAAGCGTGTCTACCTGTCCATCCCATTCAGGGGAGAAACGATCACGAAAGCGTGGAGTAGACGAATTCAATCCCCCCATCAAATTCATCGCCTCTGTGGCTGAAACCCCGTATTATATTCACGTTCAAACCTGTTCTCTTTGTGCAGGCTAAAGATAAATTTCAAACGGGGAAATTATTCACATAAAAATAAATTACTTCGAACGTGACCTCATTTTATGTCAATCATTTCACCTGCACCTGTGGGGCAAATTATCTGTGTCGACCAGTGAGATCTCTATCTGATCGTATCAAGGAGCATCATCCCGTTTGGTTGAATCAGAGATTGATAAGTAGATGGTGATTATAAGCCATTTGATTGATTCTAATCACACAGTCAATGTGCCTGAGGCTTTCCGTCCTCTCTATGCGATTAAGGGGAGGTTATCCAAAGGGATCAAATCCAGAACTGAGCCCGAAACAGTTTGTGTAATCACTGGTCTTCCACTAACAATCTGATGACAATTTTCATTCACGAACTCTCTTTCATTCACCTACTAAATTCTGAGTTTAGTCCAGTTTCACAGTGCAGTGCTTTGCCAGAGTTAGTCAGCTCTATGCCAACACCAACTATCGAACCCAACACAGTCCTGAAACAGCTACTGAAAACTAAGTTGAATAAAGCATCGGGCCCTGATGAACTATCACCCGTAGTACTCAAGGTATGTGCGGACACCTGTTCAGCCCCATTGTCAAAAAATATTCAATGACTTTCTTACAAGCGGGAAAATCCCTGATATTTGGAGACTGGCCAAGATAACCCCGTTCCAAAAAAGGAACCTGGGAAATATCATTCCATCGTCTACACGTCAGTCATGCTCAAATTATTTGAGAGATGCTTACTAACGTGGGTTGGCACTGAGTCTGACAAAGACGACATACATCAATTTGCATATCGCTCTTCGCGGTAAATACTTGGTGTTGTTGCATATCTCGTTCATTCAATAATCTCGGCACTAGATAAGAAAAGTAAGACCGTCAGAATGATGTTCTTAGACTACAAAAACGCTTTCGGCAGTCTTAATTGACCAGTATTGCTCAACCTGATTACCGAAAGTGGTATAAATTCAAACATTAGCAGACTGATCTTTGATTATTTCACAGATAGAAGGCAGTTTACATGTCTCAAAGGCAAGAAATCCTCCTCTCGCCCAGTTTCTTCTGGTGTCCTGCAAGGTGCAATATTTTCCCCGTTTTTCTTTTCAATGCATGTCAAACAATTTCCCATTCCTCCTGCATTCATTGGCTGTTGACGTTGTTATACAGGTATTGACCAAATGTATATCAAACAATTTCACATTCATCATGCGTCCATTGGCTGTAAATATGTAGATGACGTTCTTATAGGTTACAAAGCATTCACTCCTGAAGAGGCTTCAGAAATTCAAAGCAAGCTGAACGACGTTGTCACTTGGTCCTTGTTCCGTTCCCTCCCACTGAATGCCTCCAAAGGTCAAGATGTTGTGTTTTCCCTCTTGGCCGATGTACCATATTTAGCCCTCGCAGATAGGTTACCCACCCTCTCTGCCAATCAACAATCCGTACCGAAATCAACAGTAGTAAAACACTTTGGTGTTACGTTATCACACAATTCATCATGGTCACTTCATGTTCAAAACACATTCTGTAAAGTAGAAAGCTTTCATATTTCTCACTCTAATTGAGATTACTTTCTGTTCCCCATAAGCTGATTGTTAGATTTGTGAGCGCATGCGTACTACCCCACTGGTTGTATTGCTGTCCAGTAATTTTTCCCGGTATGTTAAAGAAAGACTTTTATTGACTGGCGAGATCTCTGCAACACATGTAAAAATGTAATGGTCTTATCAGGGATAAACTGGCCGATACTATCA